GCTTTATCCATTAAACCGGGTCTAGTATAATATCCTATATCATCTAGTCCCCCCACTCTGGTCGAGTAAGCATAACTCGATCCAAGAGTGAAATGCCTCTTCGAGTTGTTTTCTTCAACTTGCCACTAAGATCGAGCATCGAATGTCGAATGACCATTGAATAACCACTGAAATATCCTCCAAATGAGCTTTGAGACCTCAAGAGCGAAAACCGAAAGACCACGGGGGTCGGAAATCGAATGATCTGATGTCGGGGTAAAAAACCGAAAGTCGGGACCGCTGAGGTCGAAAACCGAGAATCAAGACCGCAAGAGGTCGAAAACCGAGAGTCGAGACCATTGAGGTCGAAAACCAAGAATCAAGACCGCTGAAGCTCAAAAATCGAGAATCGAGACCGCTGAGGTCGAAAACCGAGAATCAAGACCGCAAGAGGTCGAAAACCTAGAGTCGAGACCGCTGAGGTCAAAAATCGAAAATCAAGACCGCAAGAGGTCGAAAACCGAGAATCAAGACCGCAAGGGGTCGAAAACTGAGAGTCGAGACCGCTGAGGTCGAAAACCGAGAATCAAGACTGCTGAGGTCGAAAACCGAGAATCAAGACCGCAAGAGGTCGAAAACCGAGAGTCGAGACTGTTGAGGTCGAAAATCGAGAATCAAGACCGCAAGAGGTCGAAAACCGAGAATCAAGACCGCAAGAGGTCAAAAACCGAGAGTCGAGACCGCTGAGGTCGAAAACCGAGAATCAAGACCGCTGAGGTCGAAAACTGAGAATTAAGACCGCTGAGGTCGAAAACCGAGAATCAAGACTGCAAGAGGTCGAAAACCGAGAGTCGAGACCGCTGAGGTCAAAAACCGAGAATCGAGACCGCTGAGGTCGAAAACTGAGAATCAAGACTGCAAGAGGTCGAAAACCGAGAGTCGAGACCGCTGAGGTCAAAAACCGAGAATCAAGACCGTAAGAGATCAAAAACCGAGAGTCGAGACCATTGAGGTCGAAAACCGAGAATCAAGACCGCTGACCAAAGTCTTGAATTTGAAAATTTGAATTTACGTCTGTTGTCTTTCGATCACCATGTTCGAGCTCCCTTATACCACCTCGTCCTATCACCCCCCAGTTCAAAGTTTAAGATTCAAGCTTGTTGGTATATTCCTTTGAAAAATAAATCAACCACCGACCTGCTCAAACCGTAATGAATATACTCGACCCGCCACTAAAGTCGAAAAATCAATTCGACGGAAGCATAATCAAATAAAGCACAACCAACCTGCTCAAGCCATAATGAATATACTCGACCCGCCATTGAAGTCGAAAGATCAATTCGACAGAATCATAATCAAATAAAGCGCAATCAACCTGCTCAAGCCATAATGAATACAACAAACAACCTGCTCGAGCAAAAATGAATATACCTGACCCGCCACTGGGGTCGAAAAACAATTTCGATAAATCAGAATCAACAGTCAACCTGCTCGAGAAAAAATGAATACACCTGACCCGCCACTGGGGTCGAAAAATGAATTCGATAAACCAGAATCAACAAATAACCTGCTCGAGCAAAAATGAATATACCTGACCGGCCACTGTGGTGGAAAAACAATTTCGATAAATCAGAACCAGCAATCAACCTGCTCGAACAAAAATGAATACACCTGACCCGCCACTAGGGTCGAAAAATGAATTCGATAAACCAGAATCAACAATCAACCTGCTCGAGAAAAAATGGATACATCTGACCCGCAACTAGGTCGAAATCAGAAATACAGCAAAACCAAACTAAATAAAACCACCCATCTGCTCAAATTACACATAACGAACTTGGTCGACCTGCCACACTGAGGTCAGAGGCATAAATAGCACGAAACCAAATCAAATAAATATGTTAGCCAACACTAGGATCGACCACACAGCCCGGAGGCCTTAGTCATGGTGGATTTTGTCTTCTCTAAACCTGCCACTAGGTTAGGAACAAATGTAGAATGATAACAAACAAAATATAATAGAGAAAAAATCATCGACCTGCCTCCAAGGTCTGCTCGAGCTATCCATGTCTTCACGACCCAACACTAGGATCGACCATCCAGCCCGGAGGCCTTAGTCATGGTGGATTTTATCTTCTCTCAACCTGCCACTAGGTTAAGAACAAATGTAGAATGATAACAAACCAAATATAATCAAGAATAAATCATCGACCTGCCTCCAAGGTCTGCTCGAGCTATCCATGTCTTCACGACCCAACACTAGGATCGACCACCCAGCCCGGAGGCCTTAGTCATGGTGGATTTTATCTTCTCTCAACCTGCCACTAGGTTAGGAACAAATGTAGAATGATAACAAACCAAATGTAATCAAGAAGAAATCATCGACCTGCCTCCAAGGTCTGCTCGAGCTATCCATGTCTTCACGACCCAACACTAGGATCGACCACCCAGCCCGGAGGCCTTAGTCATGGTAGATTTTATCTTTCCTCAACCTGCCACTGGGTTTGGAACAATTATACAATAATACCAGATCAAACAGAACCGAATAGAAATAATTGACCTGCCTCCGAGGTCTGCTCGAGCTATCCGTGACTTCGCACTTGCCCACCCAATCCGAGGGATGTTCGAAACAGGCGGTCAGCCTGCCCATCCCAAGGGGTGTACTAAACAAGCGACCACCCAGCTCGGAGGCCTTAGTCATGGTGGAATTTGTCTTCAGGCACTTGCCGACCCCGAGGGGGCCTATCGAAACAAGCGACCACCCAGCCCGGAAGCCTTAGTCATGGTGGATTTTTTTTCTTCAGGCACTTGCCCACCCAATCCGAGGGATGTTCGAAACAGGGGGCCAGCCTGCCCATCCCAATGGGTGTTCTAAACAAGCGACCGCCCAGCCCGGAGGCCTTAGTCATGGTGGAGTTTGTCTTCAGGCACTTGCCGACCCCGAGGGGGCCTATCGAAACAAGCGACCACCCAGCCCGGAGGCCTTAGTCATGGTGGATTTTTTTTCTTCAGGCACTTGCCCACCCAATCCGAGGGATGTTCTAAATAGGCGACCAACCTGCCCATCCCAAGGGGTGTTCTAAACAAGCGACCACCCAGCCCGGAGGCATTAGTCACGGTGGATTTTTTCTTCGACCTGCCACTGGGGTCAAATAGAAACACATCGAGCAAAACAAAATATGATAGGAATCGATCATTTTCGTTAGTCCCATAATGTGCAGAATGATATCGAACAAGATAAAGAGTCAAATGTATTTGACCTCCTTTTCCTGGTTGTATCTGGCAACTTGTGCTCAAATTCTTCGACCTGCCACTGAGGTCGAAAAGGAAAACATCGAACATAACAAGATATGATAACACTCGATAATATTGTTAGTCATCTGAATAATAATCTAACCATGCCCATGTGCATCAGAATCTCCTTAATAGCTCGCCCAAGGTATTCAAACAATTAACATTCCCCAAAAAATAATGTTGAAAGCCTCAATGCTTCCATAAATTGTGTGTCGATCATACTCGACCACCAAATCAAGAGTTGAGAATAGTTTTGTACCTGAAGGTCGAGAATACCACTCCAAATTGTTTTACCTCTCAAGAAGAGAATGATTTTTGCCTTTGAAATCGCCACCTGTGATCGACATCATCCAGGCTCGTCCCTGCTTGTCACCCTCCTTAGATGGGTCCATGCTCGTTCATTTTGTCCTCGACACTCAACAGCTCGGCCGCCATAGCCTGTCGAGACTTGGATTATTTCGTCATTTCCTCGACAGAAATTCAAATATGTCTATGAATAAATCGCATAATCGCTCGAGCAAATTACATAATCATCCACAAACAAATCCGACAATCATTCGAGCAAATCAAATAATCATCCATGCACAAATGAAATATATTCCTCAAATAATCATCCTCAAATAAATCCAATAGCACCTCCTCGAACACATCAAATACCTCCAAAAATAAATTAAATAGCACATCCTCGAATAAATCAAATACATCCACAGATAAATCAAATAATATCTCGAGCAAATTAAACAATTCTCCTCCAATAAGTCAAATAGTTTTCATGGAAAAGTCGCATAATCCTCATGAATTATTTAAATAATGTGTCCTCGATCACATCAAATATCACTTCGAACAAAATAATATCTCCTCGAACAAAATAACATATCCTCGATATAGTCAAGTAATCCCCTCAATTAAGTGAAATAATTTCCACGGAAAAGTTGCATAATCCTCATGAATTAATTAAAATTTGTATCCTCGATCAAATCAAATAATGCTCCACAAATTAGTCAAATAATCCTCACGAATATATCAAATAGCCTCCACGAATAATTCATATAATTCCACACACGAATCACATAATCGCTTGAGCAAATCAAATAATCCTCCATGCATAAATCATATAATTATCCACAAACCAATCAAGTGATATCTCCTCGAGCAAATTAAATGTATACTCCAATAAATCAAATTTAATAATATCCCGGCCCAATCGAATAACATTCATGCGTATTCACGAATAGATCACATGACCCAACACGAGCCAAACAAATAATCCTCAAGTCGATATCACCAATTTAAATCCTCATGCCTCCAAATTTAAATTAGTCACATACCTCCGCTGGGAGAGTAATATCTCAAATTATCTTACCGTTCGCTTTTAATCATCCCGAATTAATTTTGGGCAAAAAATATGGATACTAGATCAAGTTGGCAGCATTTCGGGCTGTTTGGATTGGTTTGGGCTCGGGTTAGACCACCTGGGCTCGAGCAGGTAGCATTCTTGGCTGTTGGAATGGGTTCAAATGTCAACTGGGCCGCACTTGGGTGATTTAAATCGCTGATAAATGTCTTGGGCCGAGGATTCGAGAAGCTGGGCCGCGGACATGATGTTTGGGCCACCTTGCTTGGGCTTGGCAGCACGTGGGCCTTTCGCGGGCTAACTTCGGGCTGGAGCGGGCTGGAGGCTGTGCGGTTGGCGGGCTGAGCGCGGGCTGGGCGCGGCCCGCGCGCTGATGCTGATAGGAACTGTGCCAAACGTTCGCTGGGCCTTCTACAGGGCTTGTACACTGGGCCTTAACATGAATCGGGCTTTTACCTGGCTACCTCAAGTTGGGCCGCGTGATGGGCTGAGGGGTGGCCACACCTGGGAGCGGGAGCACACAGCAGGTGGAGCTCGGCAGAAGAAATTTCGCAAGCGGCGGAGCTCGCCGACTCCGGCGATAGAGACCGTCCGTATGCGTGCCTCGTTGAGGAGAATCCGGTGATGCCCTCGGATCGAAATGGTTTGCCGGAAATCGACGGAAAAACGGAGAAGACGACCGGATTTTTACTAGTTTTCTTTCTAGATCCACAAACTTTGACCGATAAATCGACGGCCTTCCGGACAGAATTTTTGTTCCAAATTTTAAGGGTAGAACGAGCATGAGGAGAGCTTCGCGATGATGTAAGATTTTTCCGATCGGACAACTTTGGACGGCGGCCGGCGGCGGAGGCAACGGTGCGCGGCGCCGGCGGACGGCGGCGTCCGGTGAAGATTGATATCTGGAGATTCGTCTCGTCGAGAGGATTCCGGTGGTACCTTCGGATTTCTCATAGCCTTCCCAGATCGTAGGAGAAATGTGTTTGAATGCTTGATTTTGACCAAATTTTTGCTAGATCTGGAAACTTTGAACACGAAATTCACAACCTTCCTGAATGAATTTTTGCATAAAATTTTAAGGGTAGATTCACCTCGAGGAGATCTATTCGATGATGTAAACGATTATCCTATCGGAGCACATTTTCTGACGGCCGGCGGCAGAGGTGCCGGCCGGCGGTGGCGGCGGCCGGTGGAGAGGAAGGAGGTTTTCCAATTTTTCAGTCGGAACTCCGCTTGACCTTTTGACGGGTTCCCACAGACGGCGCCAATGAAGTGAATAAGTTTCACCCAGGCTCCTTCAACTCGAACGGCCTCCGCACCTGTAGAACCCAACGCCGGGGGTGGCCCCGGCGTCGGGCTTCCGATGCTTAAGTCAGTGCTTAGATCAAGAGAGATAAAGTGTGTAGTAATCAAATGAGGAGAGAATGAGAGAACTAGGTACCTTGGCCCCCTTTTACAGGGGGAGTGTACCTTTTGGGCCCAAGTTGGGCCTGACCCCTATCGTCGGGCTTAGATGTCTTAGTGGGCTTATCTTCCAATATGTATCCGCTTTATCCATTAAACCGGGTCTAGTATAATATCTTATATCAAGCTCTAAGGCAAAATGAAACATGGGACTTAGTACCCAAACTGGATGGAGTTAAACCCATATCTTGTAAATGGGTCTATAAAATAAAAAGGCGGTCTGACGGATCAATTGAAAGATATAAAGCTCGGCTTGTTGCACGTGGATTCTCACAACAGTACGGGCTAGACTACGATGAGACATTTAGCCCAGTGGCAAAAATCACAACAGTTCGAGTACTTATTGCACTGGCAGCAAGCAAGTCCTGGAAATTATGGCAGATGTATGTGAAGAATGCGTTTCTACATGGAGAGCTCGGTAGAGAAATATACATGGTCCAACCTTCGGGGTTCGAGGATAAGGAGAATCTAGGCTACGTCTGCAAACTAAAAAAGGCCCTATACGGGTTAAAGTAAGCGCTAAGAGCATGGTACGGTAAGATCGTTGAATTCTTGATTCTGTGTGGGTACTCTGTTGCACCAGCAGACTCAAATCTCTTCGTTAAGAAACGAGAAAGAAAACTAGCAATAATGTTAGTATATATGGATGATATCATCATCACTGGAGACGATGAAGAAGAAATACAACAAACAAGGAAGAATTTATTGGTGAGACTCCATATGAAAGAGCTTGGAGAACTTAAGCACTTTTTGGGACTTGAGCTAAAAGAAAAAAGCGACGTCTTTTATTGTGTCAGTCAAAATATGCTAAAGATTTATTGAGGAAATTTGGCAAGATTGACTGCAAGCCGTTATCGACACCAATTGAAGCAAACGCCAAGATATGTGCTCAAGATGGAAAAGACTTGGAGGATGCAACTATGTACAGGAAGCTGGTCGGAAACCTAATCTACCTAACCCTAACACGGCCAGACATTTCATATGCAGTGGGAATTGCAAGTCGATTCATGGAGAAACCAAAGAAGCCACACCTCGAGTTAGTCCAGCGCATACTAAGGTATGTAAAAGGATCAATCGATTATGGACTATTTTATCAAAAGAATAAAGATATAAAAATTATTGGCTATTGCGACGCGGACTATGCAGGATGTGGTGATACGAGAAGGTCCACTACTGGGTATGTGTTCAAGTTTGGGTCAGCTGCAATATTATGGTGTAGCAAAAGACAACCGACAGTGTCCCTATCTACAGCAGAGGCTGAGTATCGAGCAGCAGCAATTGCGGCACAAGAAACCACATGGCTTATGCAATTATTTAGAGATCTACATCAGTCATTTAGCTATGCGGTACAACTATATTGTGATAATCAATCTGCTATACACATAGCAGAAAATACCGCATACCACGCTAGAACAAAACATGTTGAAGTTCATTATCACTTCGTTAGAGAAAAAGTGCTCAAAGGGGAGATAGAGATGAAGCAAGTTGGTACAGAAGACCAAGTAGCCGACGTTTTCACCAAAGGGCTCAATTTTTCAAAATTTAAAGAGTTCTGAACATGTCTTGGAATGGTTCGAGAAGAAAATATAACTCAAGAGATGTCGGTGTCACTACTGAGACCAAGATCCAAAACTCTGCACGAAAAGCTCGGAATTATAAAAATGAGCATTATGGGGAGTGTTAGGAATTAATGCTCATTTTCTAGAAAATAATATTCATTAATTAAAATTAGATATTAGTTGTTAGATAGTAGTTAGTTGTTAGTAGTTAAATAATTAATGTCACATAAGATATATGTATATATATATACTAGATGGGTTTACGCCGTGCACGCACGGCGGTCTACCACCCGGTGTAAAATTACTGTGAAAATTTGTCATAAGTTGTTGCAACTTTTATTCTAGCGTATGTTGCATTTGTTCACATATATTGTGTCTTTTTTTTTTATGGAAATGTTTTATGATTTTGCTCTCTTGAATTTCGCCAGTGGTTTATGAGCTGAGAGGTTGTTTAAATCCGTGTATGTGCACATGCATCTCCAAACTGAAATCGTGGTCGAAGTTATTTGCTTACGATTTTGTCTATTGATTCATAAACATTCTATGTGTTACGTGTATTGTTTGTTTATGCTTTTATGCTGAAAATTGAAATTTAGAATTGGGAGTGAATGTACATTGGTCCTTGATCATTGATTAGAAATTTTTTATGTACTTGAGGGTTGATGACGGAGATGTACTATTTAGTTAATTCTTTAATTAACCTACAATCATATTACGTGGAGGTTGTATAATCATTTTATAAATAAAAAATGATTGTTACAGGTGACATTTAAAAATATAGTGAAAATTTTTTATGACTTGTTATGTTGTTTTTTTTGGGTTAAGAAGTGTGAAGTAATGGACGACATAATTATAATCAAACCAACATGAAAAAAAAAAAAAAAAAAAAAAAAAAAAAAAAAAAAAACTGCATTAAATTTAGTTAAATGTAAATATGAAAATAGCAAAAAACATGTCTTTCTATTTCAATTTTATGTCGTACGTTGGGTGCGTTGGTGGGAGGTTTCGCGCAAGAAGAATGAAAAACAATTCTGACCTTTGAAAATAATGATAATCATCTTATTTTTGTGCCACCCAGAGTGCAAACAAACAACGGGGAAGTCCATCCCCATCAAAAAAGAGTGAAGGAAAATAAATGCTTCATAGACCACGCTCTTGCCCGACCGACTGTCGGTGTCCCTCTCCATAGTACAAAACTGTTTCTCGGTGTCCTTTTTTACACTTCTGGTTGAAATCTATCTTCTAATTATCATCATCAGTAGGACTTGTGTACTTAATGATCTCAGTACACAAGTTAGAGGACTTTATGGTACCCAGATTCTCCTGGTTACTTTTTCTATTGCAAGTGTCCTACAAATGAGAAGTAACATAGTAAGGTCATCTCATTGCACAATCTAATCATAGAGCACATCAAAAGGAGCATAAAGTTCAAATCCAATACAACCCTGAAACTGTTATTTACCTTGTACAGCATATAAGGAGTTCCATTTTCAATTTGGGACTTCAAGATTTCAAACCATAGGTTCTGTGCCTGGACTACCTTTTTTGCTTCTCCCTGAGTTTAACAAAATGGAATATTACAAAACAGAAAATATAATGAATAGCACCAAACGCACCACGTATCAGATTGGGTTTACCTCTCTCTCATACTTAGTGTATAAAGCTTCAAATTCATCACCCCAACAATCAGCTAAGCCAGGAGACTCATTAGGACAAAACAATGACCATTGTCCATTAGATTGAACTCTTTGCATAAATAGGTTAGGCACCCAAAGTGCATAAAACAAATCTCTCGCACGGTGCTCTTCCTGTAAAAAGGAGGACAGAAGACACTAAGCGTAAAGAAAAAAAAAACATCACCAATGCTTGTTCAATTGACAATGTCTGATGATCCTTTCTAATATTATTGCTATTATCCGCCACTCATTTTCAAGCAAGTGTTAAACGTCATTGATTAAACACTAAAAATGTACATCCAAATTACACGTTACAATCAACAGTCTATTTTTCAGATAAAGTAACTTACAATTTTTACAATAGCACCCTCTTACAATTCAACGGTCTATTTTCGTCCATATTTTTAATATGCCTTAATTTTGTACAATCACTGTTGTGCAAGCACAGCCGCCTCAAATTTAGTCTGTAATGTAAGCATAATTGTTTGTTTAGAGAAATTATGAGCAAAATTTTTTCATATTTGGATTAGCTTTGTCGCTAAATTTACTACAAATGTATTTTTAACTGCAAATCAATATAGTACCACAGTATCCCAATCTATACCGATGAATGCATATGAACAATTTTGAACAATTTAATATTCCAAAGAAAAACACTGATTCAGATTTTTTGGTGCCAATGTATTCAAGAAAATATTTTTGCAGTATGAATCATCTAATTATCCTTCCCTATAGTTAAAATTTGTAGTCCCTTCAAATGATCCAACAAATTTATATATATATATATATATATATATATATATATATATATATATATTTATTAAGACATTGTTATTAAGTTTGATACAAATGAATTTTATGTTTGAATAAATTTTGACAAAGTTTTTCTCTCATAAACTGTCTAGATAGCCTTGTATATCTTGCACAGTTGAAGCCACGTCGAGTTGCAATACCCCCCCGCCATTGATACTGCAATATGTATGAAAATTATAAAACATGAAATAAAATAAGATTTTCTAGATTTCAAAATTTTTGATCAAAAGTTGATGAAAAATCCGAGGATTGGTTTCTTTTTTTTTTTCCCCCTCATGTGCATGCATATAGTATAAATCTTGTAAAGTATATGTAGGGATATAAAATTGCGCTTTTATAATGTCATAGGTTTCAATAATAACGTATTGTTTATTTAATTTATTTTAATTATTTTACCTCTTTATTGTCTAGCAAGAAGAAAATATAGGGCGAACGAAGGCATTCAAGAGCCTGACGTCGGCACGTGTTGCCCCAACATGGAGAAGTTTCCAGTTCGCGGGCTGATGGCCATAGCGGGGGGAAGAAAGAGTACTGGTGTGTGGAAATGAATTAAGAAAAGAGTACCTATAATCTCAAAAACAATTGGTAATGTAAAAATCAGATATAATGCAATCAGTTGATAATGAACAAATATGCTTTTTTCACAAATGTGCAGATTCTATAATTTGAAAATCAAGTTACCACACTTATTTTTTTTTCTCTTTCAACATAACATAATCTTGTGAGCACTTGCGCTCTAACACTTCATAAAATAGTACATATGACAGCCCCTGAGCAAGATATACTTTCTGTATGGAGGAAAAAAGGTTTATATATTGAGAACAACAAACTGCCCTATCTCCACTTCAGGCACAAAATAATTATTAGACATCAAGACACGACAAACTGCCTTGTCTCCTCGCTATATTCATATGAACCATTACCAACAGAATTCACAAACGAAATTCTACTCGCAAATGATTATTCACTCTCATAGAGATAGAAATGTGAAAAGAGGGAAACTTTTATTCCCTAAAATGCAGAATATTTATGGGAGAGAAATTACTATTTGAAGAGTACCTAGTTGATAACTAAGGTTGGAGAAGGTGATTTGTTTCACAAGCTGGCACAAACCAAGAAACCTGCTCCAGCACCTTAAAAGCAAAATATAAAAGAAAATTTAAACAGGGAGCACCAGAAACGAAGACAAAGGGTGAAGGAATCTTGAAAATTAAATGCCTTCCATAATTCACAAGAGCAAATTAACCAAACCATCATAAAAAGGGTGGGACAAAAATAAAGATTAAAAAATTAAATGATGGGAAATTTCTTGTCCATCACCGGAATGTAACGAAGCAGTGGGTGGGCGGCGGATCCGTATCGTCGTGGAGTGAGACCCAGCGCCAGAGAAGGAGATGTGGGGCTTGATTAGTGGAATAGATGGAAATGGCAGTGGTACAGACCCAATGTTTTTCCACTTTTGGACAGGATCGGTGAACGGTAGTGACATACGGGTTCTCCGCCGCGTAAACTCACACGATCAACAGTTATAGAGAACTTATCCCCAGTCGTAAAAATTGAACACAAAACTCTCAATTAAATAAGAAAATATATAATAAACTAAAAAAAAAAGATATACTGGGATCTCACTTTCATGATGGACGGCCAAAATAGACCAATACATGCTTTGAAAGTGCAAAAGCCAAGTAGTTGAAGACTTCCAAAAAGACATTCCACACCTTTTTATGTGCGACTTTATCACTAATGTCATTGTCCCTGTCCCTCGTAATCGCTCTTCTTGACCATGGAGGCATCCTTGGCCTCTAGCCTCCTTTCCCTCTCCCTCTTTTTCCTCTGCTCCTCGAGGACTGCGACCTTCTCTCTCTCATCCCTCGTCTATTTCTGGAAGTCCTTTGCACCGATCATAGTCAACGACCATATCACCATCATTATTAGTCCTCTCGGAAGGCATAGGCACGGCTTCAACACCAGCCTTTCTGATTGGGCCTTGTGGGCCAACTCCGGGAGCTCCATCTTTTTCTTCTCCCTCTCTTTCATCATCATGTCCTTCTGTACTTTGGATCCCTGGCCTTTTTCTTCGCATAGAGCCTCAGACATCTCATTTTTCACGCCCTTTAAAACAACAAGAAAATTTACATCACAACTAATGTACACTACATCATGAAACAACATAAGAAAAAAAGTTCAAGCAATCCTTCATTGTATGGTGTGAATCACCACCCCGTAACATAAGCTACTCAAATTGGTATACCCAAGAAATGCTTCAACATAAAACAAACATAAAATGCAGCTGCTTCAAAGCTGCAATATGACAATATGGGCAGTTTGGAATAATTAGTGCTCAGAATTAATAAAAAAAAAACAAAAAACAAAAAACAAAAAAAAAAAAACATCATATTCAAAATGAACTAAAAGCTTCAAATTTTTTTCCAAAATACCAGAGCAAGAAACAGGTAACGGCCGTCGCAAGCCACCTTCTGAACAGAATATCACTCCACTTTCTCCATTGCAGGCCAACCCATGTCTGAAATGCGGAAAACCAATTGAAACTGCGTGAATTTATCTCTCACCTCACAAAAATTCCTTTCACTTTGTAACTTCTCACACTCACGCAGGTTGTCCAATTGCAGCAAAAAATCGCGGCATCGTGCAAAATACAAACAAACACGCCAAAAAGTTCTGCCATATTTACCGGAAAGTATCGGCTGACTGAAGTCGATTCGCTTTTCGCCGGGTCTCCCTCTCGCACTGGTCGCCGGCTCAACATCCTGTCAGGTCTCTCTCTCTCTCTCTCTCTCTCTCTCTCTCTCTCCCCCTATCTCCCTCTCGTGTGATCGGGATTTTCAGCTTTTGTTGGTCTTTAACAGCCACTGTTTCATAGTTCCGCTAGCCGAGATCAGGGGCATATCCAGAAATTGTTTTCACTCGGGGCTGCAAAATGTACTGACTTTATCTCGTTACAAAGTTTTGTTTTACGTGTGATACCTCAAGCTCGACTAGCTTGTATATTTGCACGAGCTCCGATCAAATAACTAATTGAGGTTTTCTATCAAACAAGTTGAGTCGAGAGTGTTAGGGACCAACTCAATTAGAGTTTTGGTTTCGGTCTACATTGTAAGGTAATTAAGTGAGTCGATGACATGCGCCATTTTTACATGCATTTTACAGTTATTTTTGTGTCCGTTTCATCGTAGTCTGATATATAAATATATATACATATTTTTTTGTGTTTATTTTAGTCAATTTTATTAAGCGACGATTATTTGTGTTTTAATAGAAATAAGATCGAAATAATTAATGAAGGCGGAAATGAAGAGAATTGGTCGAATAATGTTTAATCCAGTGCGGTGGTATAGAACCAAAAGATAGCTACATGGTAGCCCATTTTATTTGATCTAGTGGGTCAAACTATTAACTCAATGTTTCAGCCTATGGGCGAATCTAGCCATATAAACAGGGGCCTAATCTTTGATATTAGATATTGTATATTATAATTCAAAATTCAAAGAAAAAACATAAAATTTACAATTTATTACATATAAATTTTCATAGCTTGAAATCGTTTCTTATAATGAAAAAATTAAACAACTTTTTTAACTATTTTCACACACATTTCAAACATTAAACTAAAATTTACATGACTTTTCATACCGTGAAATCAGTTTTTATAATGAAATAATTAAATACCTCTTTTACTATTTTCACACACATTTTAAAATATTCCAAAAATAGTAAACTAATATTTCAAGTTTCACTAGAAATTGGCTTTTAAACATGATAAGAAAAAAACAAAACCATAATCAAATCAATGCTAAACGCGCAAACGGAGCTGACGTAAAATATACAAAAGTTAAAATAATTTTCTTTTATATGTCGTCACAATGTCACTAATAACTTAATTTAAATATATTTACTTTGTTAGTATTTCTTTTTTTAACATTAATTTTAACAGCCCTCCTTAATAAGAATATATCAATTTTAACCAAAAAATAAAAGAAATTGTAGAGCCTTAAAATCTTATCATTAGCAATAGCCGTTCAAAAATCAATCAATGCTATTGTATAATGGAACAATAACTAAATATACGTAAACTAATCAAAGTGTGCAATATATAAACAATTAATATAAAGATATATATCATTGAGTAATAGCTCACTTCCTTATCAAGTTTATTTAATACGTAATGAAATGGGTGCTCAATCTATTTTATTCCGAGTGGGCCGCCCAACCCAATAAATAATAAGTTAAAAAAACATATGGGAATGGCCCAAGAAGCAAGTAAGGATACAAATGTCATTTCAACTTCAACATGTATTCATCATCTTCATCTCCAATCTCTTGCACAAAACAGCATCCTTGGTCCTCCACCATTGATGAGCAAGAGCATGCTCCTTTGTTTGTTTATGAACTTTCTTTGAGCTACAATCCGAAATTAAATGGGGCTAACTACAAAATTAGATAGGGCTAAGTATATAATTTTTTGAGAGGTAAATCTAATTTTTTTTTTTTTTTTTTTTTTTTTTTTACATGGGGCTGGAGCCCACCCTAGCCCATGGGTGGCTCTGCCCCTGGCCGAGATGCTTTTATTGCAAGAACAAATTAGCTGACTCAAATGAAAATAAAACAAAATTAAAAAAATGAGAAATTTCAAAACATAAACCCACCCAGACCATCTTCACACTCTCAGCGTCCTCACCGGCTGAAAACTCCATGCCTTCATCTTTGACGATTTTTTTTTTCTCTGTTTTTTCGGTTTGTTGGGCTAGGGTTTGGTGAGAGAAGAGAAGGGATAATTGGGGGAGAAATTGGCAACGGTATTCAACTGCGCTACCGCCGGAGGGCACCTGCAACCGCGTGAGTTCTCCGTGCGGCGGAAGAGATGCTCGAAGGAGAGGAAAACGTGGTGACATTATGGAAATCGAACCTTGCCGCCATTTTTCAGACTCGATTGAAGATAACGTATCGCCCGGACACCGTCCATCACAGCCGGAACATACATCTTAACCATTGTTTCTGGCGCGTTGATCATCCCTAAGAAGTGTCGCAGGCGCGTCGTAGACGCCACCGGTACCTTCAATTCCGTCAAACATCATACATCTGCCTAATAAAATCCAACAAGCATAGTGAACTCATTATCCCTATGCGATTTCGTCTCTAATTTACAGAGTGAAAAAAGGAATATACCTGGGAAAAGAAACAGACGTCGAGTAATGGGTTCGGGCTGGTTGAAGGGATTTCGGCCATGGAGGGAATTTCGGTCAGTAAGCAGGTTAGGTTTCAGATTGGAGAGCATAACATTGTCCTAATTCAAATTCAGGGTCCTTCAATTTCTTTAGTCGGTGTAGGTAGCGTGCGAGTAAAAATGAGAAGTGTTTGTCAGACGCCTCTTCTTCAATCTCAGGGCCCTTTTTCAATTTCTTTAGTAGGTGTAGGTGTAGGTGTAGCGTGCGAGCAAAAACGGGAATAGTATTTGTCAGATGCAGACATGCAAGTCAACACAAAAAATGTCATACTATAATGTGAGACATTTTTGTCTTAAAAAAAACACATTCAAGTAAATTAGGAAAATGGACATATGTCACCTTCTAAGGGCATTAAAAATGGACACGTGTCGATCTTTAAAGCCCACTAACTCGTTCATGTATATATAAGAGAGATATATAGATATATATATGTATGTATTGTGCGTGTGTGCTGAGTGTGATAAAAACAATAAAAAGAGAAGAGTGAGTTGTGGTGTAAGTGATCAAAATAATTTTATTTTTAAAAAAAAAAAAGAGAGTGAGTGAGTGTGTGCAATAAAATATTAAGTGTGTGCTTGAGTGTTGTGAGTGAATAGTAATAAAATAATAAGTGAGGTATTGTGTGTATTGTATGTAAATGAGAGAAGTGATTTGATATAGTGAATTTCCTTGAGTGCTATTGTAAGTTGAGTGATATATTTGAAATAACAAAATTAATTTGTTTTGTTAGTCTTGAGTTTATTGGCCCATTTATTTCCAACACAACGGGTTTGACGGGGCCACTTCGAATGTGACCTATGTATAAGTGATATTCTGGAAATGAAATTGCCGACTTTATGTGAAAATTGGAGGATTTGTAGATATTGGCGCACGATGAAAGAAGAGAGAGAGAGAGAGAGAGAGAGAGAGAGAGAGAGAGAGAGAGAGAGAGAATAATAAATAAATAAATAAATAAATAAGAGAAGAACACTAATCATGGCCTTTCCAGTAGCATCTGCTGGAGGAAAATGGAGAAGAAACAGACAGCGTCTGCTTTATGGGGAGGAAAATGGAGAAGAAAAAGAATACTACAAACAATGACCCATCAATCCTATAGCAACAATTTCTGGGGGGAAAATGAAAGAGGAAAAAGAAGAAATGGAGAAAAAAACAAGCAGCAACAGATTTGAAGTTTCCACATAACCATTTTTTGGTAGATTTGGGGACAAAATTGACTATGCCCCCAGTTTGTAAGATAAATAACATGGAAAACTCTGAACATATACCGTTCCGTAACTACTCACTTCACAAAGATTTAAAATAACTCAATAAAGTCTAACTCGAAATACCCAACTAATTCGGGCTTGTAAACATTGGTTCTGATAAGAGTCGATGTCCCAAGCCATGTATTTCACATTAAAACAACAAATAGCATAAGTGAGCTTTACCGGCCAACTTTGATATTCGATATTAATAAAACAAAATATTTCCTAATTCTTCATATGATCACACAAATAATAAATGATACGATAAATAACCCAATAAACATCATTGCCTTACGAAATATTATTAGAGAAACACTAATCAAACAAACTTAACACCACTAATTGCCAGGAAAAACAAGGATAGGCATTAAAAACTCACATGATCCCCCTATAACAAGAGGAATAGTAAAAACCATAACATTCCCTAAAAAAAAAAAAAAAAAAAAAAAAAAAAAAAAAAAAAAAAAAAAAACCCAGTTATCTCTGAAAAACACAGATATCCTTCAAAGCATAATATTAGAAAATACCACACAATTTTATTTATAGAATAAAAACAAACATTAAGGCACACTCATAGTTCCAAAAGATAACTGGGTTTTTTACTTAACCACATTACTCTACTCACTAAACTTCACACTACACTTCACGGATATTTTCATTCTCCTTAATCAAATCTTTGAAGCAATCCATTTATCCACAACAAATCAACCTCTAAAACAAGTACCTCCAGCAAGCAGGCCGATCCCTGGATATGACAAGAACCCTCGAGCCTGAATAATCAAATGAAGGCGCATACATATCATCCGGCCCAATAATCTCCTTGGGCTCCCACATGCATCCTGGATCTTCTGACGATACATCATCCCTAAAGGAGTCAAACACAAACAATCCAAGCCCACAAACTCCCATCACAAGGCTTGAATTCCCCCACACTTGTGTTGCAGACATGAAGTGATTATGAACACTCGATTCAGGTAAAGTGTATGTGCTCATGAGCCTCTGCTTGCGCAAGGAGAATTGTAGGATTTGGGAACAAGGCTGTTGGTTTTTAAGGGAGGAATTTGAATTATTCTGGCAACCGATGTATATGGAGTCCCCACGGGAAAAGGCAGATTGCACATCTAGCCCAGTATTGGATATCTTGAGAGCAATGCCTGACGGTTGCCTGAAATCGAGCACGCAGATGGAGTCTGACGTGCAGAACACGCCATCATTACCTTCGGCTTCAGATGAACTTATTCTGCAAGGCAAAGTGTTACGGGGAATCACCCAAATTAGTGAAAAAAATAATAATAATAATAATAAAATAAAAAGCACAATAATACCCAGATTGGAAAATGGAATTTCCTGCATCTTAAGCATGCTTGAAATCACAGACAAGAAATTAAGAATAAAGGCCATTATCAAGACTATGAAGACAGAATGTCAGTAAAAATACATTTTTCTTTTTGCCAAATAAATTCAAATGTATAATAATCAAAAAAAATAATAATAAC